CTCCTTCTGGAGCAATTTCTTCCTCTTCACACCATCGTAAAGACAACCTGGGGTTTCTGCACTTCTTACTTATGTACCTTAACCTTCATTGGGTGACTTTGGGTCTTCAGCCTCGACTCCAGCTGCGTTTCAGCTGACGCTTTGATAAATGACACGTTCGGGGAGGCCAAGGGATGCAGCATGAATGGGGGGGGGTGGCATTTCCTGACTCCCTCAAACAACAAACTTTCAAACACCTCCCTCTTGTATTATTTTTTAATTAGTCCAGGATTTTTGGCTATAGGGATTTCTGACTTAGTGGTTGCCAGGGCAACCAGAGGCAGCCTAGGTAGCATCCTCTTTATCTTCACATTCCCACCGTGGGGACCAGTCCCCAAGCAATGTGTTTCCATCCAGGGAGGGATGTGCTAGCTTATCTACCTTGGGTGAGAATGAGGTGGCAAAGTCTCAGCTGTGGATCGGGGAAGACTAGTCTTTAACGGAGAGGAAAAGGAGGAAACCAAGTGCAGTAGGAAGAGTGAATTTCCAAAAACACCGTAACAAGGCTTTTCTCTCTCCCACCCCCCCAACCATGAGCTGAGCCCTTTGTTTCTTCTGCAGTCTAGTTTTAAAGTCAGATTTTAATGGGTTTTTTTTTTGGCAGGGAAATCTCAGTTTGAGGTTTCCACCCAGGTCCTGCCCCACAGGGGATGAGCAGGGAGGAGGGGTCGGGGCATCTGCAGGCTCAAGGAAGGATGCGGGATTTGGGGGAGATGGCTGGCACCCTGCTGGGAGCTTGGTCCAACCTTGGTTCCATTACCCACCAAGGGTTTCCTTGGAGTTATCTTAGGATATTTTCCAATGCAGCAAGGACAAGTGAGATATAAAGACCAGAGACCTGCGGTCACTCCAGGCACCTAAACTGTGGGGAATGATGCTGCACCCCCAGCAGCTCCTGTTGACATCAGTGGGTATAGCAATTCTCACAGAGCTGTCAGATAGCCAAAATCTATCCCTGGGATCTCTCCACACCACAACAGCCATAGAAATGAAGAATTCATGGCTAAGCCAGCCCAAAAGCAGGCTGCTTTCTCCCCGTGGCTTTCCCCTCGCCATCCCAGGTGATGAAGCTGGTGGTTTCTGACCCGTGGTGTTTCCTCCTGGTGAATCTCCCCAGTGCTGCAGGAGGATAACTCATCTTCATTTTATAAGGGGATACCTTGGCTTCCTGCCTTTGTCACCAGAGCAGCTCGTCGGCAGCAATCCAAAGGCAATTTGATGCGGTTTCAGATGCACGCTGTACACAGATGAACTGTAAATGCCTGCGGCGTGTTTCTTTCCCCCTTTCAAAGAGCGCTGTCGATTGCTCCATGTGATAAAGCATGTCTGTACCTGATTAAGCCCTTCGTTGATTATCCAGCAATGCAGGAGTCTGTTTCTTGGACTGGAAGATGACCAGTACCTTTATGTCACCTATCTTTTATCAGAGCTATTGACCAAGTGGCTTGTTAGCCTATGACTGCTTGGTGCTGCTCTGTAAGGGAGTTTTTAACGGGTAGTAATGGATTGCATCTCATCTGCAAAGCAATTGTGGAGCCAGTTAGGGAAAACCTGGGGCAGTGATGCGAGGAGGGAAGAGGCAATAGATGCTGTGCAAATATCTAAGCTGAGCTTTGCGTACTGCATTTCAGCTGCGTAATGTTTTGTGCTTGCTGATAGCTGGAGCCATGGGTGTTGCAGTGGGAGTCGTTGTATCTGCCCACTTCTGGCAAATTTTTTTGAGGATGATCAAGAAGGGCATTCCCATGTCAAAAGGGGCTTGAGCAGCTGTGTATTGAAGCCCAGCACTGGCTTTGATTCGCTTCTCAGTTCATGGAATCATAGAATCACAGAAGGGTTTGGGTTGGAGGGGACCTTAAATATAATCTCGTTCCAAACCCCGTGCCATGGGCAGGGACACCTCCCACTAGCCCAGGTTGCCCAAAGCCTCATCCAGCCTGGCCTTGAACCCCTCCAGGGATGGGGCATCCACAGCTTCTCTGGGCAACCTGGGCCACTGCCTCACCACCCTCATCGTAAAAAGTTTCTTCCTTATATCTAGTCTGAATCTCCCCTCTTTTGTTTAAAACCATTACCCCTTGTCCTGTCACTACAGGCCCTACTAAAAAGTCTGTTCCCAGTTAAACTAGAACTTTGGAGATGGCCCTCTTGCTTTTCCTCAGGTGGCCCAGCAGGAGCTCATGGAGGTTTTACCAGTGCTCAGAAAGCCACGTCTCACACTGATGTGTCTTTGGACCTGCTGGGGTCTGATCCAGCTCCCACCAGAGCCAACAGGATGCCATGAGGAACAGAGCTGGGCTTTTGAAGGAGAAGTTAGGAGGCAATTACCCTGTTGAGACGTGAAGTGGGAATAGCCACTGGGTGGGATTTGGGAGAAGAAATATCAGTTGACTGAGCTGACACTAATGAACATACTTCCCTATATGTCAGACATTTAACATTTGAGTTTTTGCTTTTTTAGTTTCCAACAAAGAGCTCCCCACTGCTGTAATAAAACATTTCAGTGCATTCCAAATGCGGCTTCATGGGGAAAAAAAAAAAAATAAAGTATTTAGTTTAGAAGGGACTGCAGAAGGGAGCAAGCTATGGTCCATCTGCACAGAACCAGAGGGGATCAGCACTGATGTCATTAGGAAGGGGACATCTGGAAACGTGTCTGCAGAAAGGAGCTCTACTCCCTGCATCCCCTCCGCACACATGTGTGTTTTCTCAAGAAACAGTTGAGATGGGCTTGGAGTAGGGCTCATCTTACTGATTTTCTGTTGTTCTATAGAATAATGGACCCCAGAGGATTGCGTGTTGGCCTTTAGGAATGCTCTGCTTGCAGGCACTTTGGCCAGAGTCCCAATCTCTGCTCTCTATTTGCAGGTCTGGGAGTTACCGCCAGGCAAGTCATATCAGTGATCACGACAATATTTTTGCAACTTTTTTTTTTTCCCCTTTGCACTTCTTTTATATGTTGGCAAGTAGTTCCTGATCAGTCTCCTGGGAAGAAGCATAGGGTCAGGAGGACCATGCTGAAAAGGGAGAGAAAATGTGGCCAAGGGGTGGGTGAGGAAAGATGAAAGGAAGCGTGAACTTCTAGGAAATGGTCCTGGGAAGGTGCAAGGGCTGTGGGGAAGGCGCCTCAGCCAGATCAAAGGGTGTGTGGGAAAGATGATACTGCAAGGAAGTTAATAAAGTGCTTTTAAACAGCAGTGGGAAAGGTGAGAAGAGAGACCAGGGGGGCTGAGGTGGGGATGGGAACACATGTTTAAAGGGGATTTTTTATTTTTTTTCTAAATGAGTGCTTGGCACATGAGTCTCTGTTTACAATCGCCAGCAGCGTAGCCAGAGAGTGGTGCTGATGGATCTCCTTGCCTGGTTTGGTGGGAGTTTTTGTCACTGGCCTCTTGGAGACTTTATTTGTAAGACACAAGGATCTGTCACCCATGACTGCAGTGGGAACCAGCCAGGACAGCCCTCCCTGTCTCTGTGGACCTGCAGGATGCTGGCATGCTCCAGTTTATTATCTCCAGAGATGCAGAGCTAAAGCTTTTTTGGCTGGCTCTTGAAATCCTGCAGCTGCCATTGCCCACAGTGATGCAGAGGAGCTGTTAGGATGAGATCTGAAGAGGTCTAGCAAAGCTGGTGAGGTGCAGGTCAGCTCTCTTCCTCCCTTGGGTGTGATGATGGAGGGTCAGAAATGTCTCAGATGGTGGAAGGTCAAAACCAGAGGGATGGAGAGAGATCCTTGCTTGCTGGCATCATTAATCAGAAAGAATACTTAATGTAATTAGCAAAGACTCCCCAGAGGCTCTGTATGAAGTAAATTGTCCCTCTCCACTCGATGCCTGTCCAGGAGGCTGGGCCCACCACAGCAGAGCCTGGGCTGGACTGAGCAGTCTTTGGTTCCTCTGCTCCAACAAGCAAGGAGCCAAGCGGCTGTTGTCCATCCTCCCTGCAATCAGCCCAAGGAGGGTTGGTTTTAGCCAGCTGCTGTAAAGCAATGATCCTACCTACCTAAACACTCCTAAATTTGCATCTGAAGTCTAAGCAAGGGAGATGTACTGTCCGTTTGGGCAATATGTAGCTGGCCTGTCTAGCTGTTCATCCTGGAGGATGCTGTGATGATGCCATTATTTCTGTTAACTATAGGAAATTTGAACGGAGCTTTGGCTTTTCCCTTCCTGATAAGTTTTTTGACACCTAAGGCTCCCACAGGGCGCACAGCCCAAGTGATTTCTCCAACCTGTCAATGCAAGGTCTTGAATCCAGCACTACCAAATCTCTCATGGGTGCCCTGACATGAAGACCTCTCTTTGCTGAGGTTTTCCAGGCTGTAAAATGAATCAGTGTCTGAGCTGTCATTCAGCTTCTTCCATGCTCCAGTCAAAAGAATGCATGTTGGATAGACCTTAGAATCATAGAACCATAGAATCACAGAATGGTTTGGGTTGGAAGGGACCTTAAAGCTCATCCAGTTCCAACTCCCCTGCCATGGGCAGGGACACCTCCCACTAGCCCAGGTTGCTCAAAGCCTCATCCAGCCTGGCCTTGAACCCCTCCAGGGATGGGGCATCCACAGCTTCTCTGGGCAACCTGGGCCACTGCCTCACCACCTACACAGTAAAGAATTTCTTCCTAATATCTAGTCTAAATCTACCCTCTTCCAGTTTAGATCCATTATCTTGCTTTAAGGCAGCCTACTGTTCTTACAGCTAATTTCCAGTGGTTTCTTAACTCGGTTATATCTGCAAAGTCTGTTGACCCAATCTATTTTTCTCCATTAAGTTCCCAGTGGGGTTCATAACATGAGAGACAAAGTGTTTGGGACATCCAAGCTATTTAAGGGTATACTTAATCTATCCCTCTGGAAAGACAGAGGAAAAGGCTGCACTACTCAAACTGTTACACATCAGCAGTAAAGTAATTTCTACAGACATTAAATCTATGTTCTTATCGTCTTGTTTTCCAGGTCAACAATGCAGTTCCTAGCCTGGTTCAATTTGCTGCTTCTCCTTCCTTGTTTCGGTACCACCAAAACCTGCTTCCCTGGCTGCCACTGCGAAGTGGAAAGCTTTGGTCTCTTTGACAGCTTTAGCTTGACCAAGGTGGACTGCAGTGGAATAGGTTCACACATTGTTCCTGTCCCAATCCCTTTGGATACCTCTTACTTGGATCTATCCTCAAACAAACTGGAAACAATCAATGAATCGATGCTTACTGGCCCTGGATACACCACCTTAGTGAGCCTCGACCTGAGCTACAACAAAATTGCCAAGATTTCCTCCACAACCTTCTCTAGACTTCGGTACCTGGAGTCCTTGGATCTGAGTCATAACTCTCTGGAAGTCCTTCCGGAGGACTGTTTCTCCAGTTCTCCTCTGGGCGACATAGATTTGAGCAATAACAAGCTTTTGGATATAGCAATGGACGTTTTTGCTTCAAAAGGTCAAGGAAAACCCCTGAATGTGGATCTATCCAATAATATGCTTGGCACAATTACGAGGCACCGTGAAAAGAGCATCCCCAACATCCAGAACTTAAATCTTTCTGGAAACAGGCTAACATCTGTGCCAAACCTCCAAGGGATTCCTCTCCGATACTTAAATCTTGACGGGAACCCTCTAGTCAAGATTAAGAAAGGAGACTTCACGGGGCTGAAAGATTTGATTCATTTATCCCTCGGTGGCTTGCGTGGCTTTGGAGAGTTATCTCCTTATAGCTTCAAGGAACTCCCAGCCCTCCAAGTTCTGGATTTATCCAACAATCCCAATCTGAAGTCACTGACTGCTGAAGTTGTCTTGGGTCTGAACTCCCTACAAGAGCTCAACCTCTCTGGGACAGGCGTGTCATCCTTGCCAAAGACTGTGCTGAAATACCTGCCTTCCATCCAAAGCATCACTTTGGGGAAGAACATACAGTGTCTTAAGACCGTCAAAGAAGGACAATACCACCGACAAATTGGGTTGACCAAAAAAGAGGTCCTCAGTTGCTACGACAGCCACGGGTCGGTGGCAGCAGCGCCTTACGTTTCGTGATGAAAGCTGGGGAGAAGGGGTGGGGAAAGGAGGGTGGGGGGCCGTGGGATTTGTACAGGTGTCGGACTGAGATGGCTTGTAGTGTGCCTTTTGTAAAACTGTCAATAATTTATATATTTGTACATGCCAATACTTGATCATTGGTGGATTTTATAAACTCACAAACCCTAGCCCACATCCGTCAGCAGGCTCCAGGTTTTACCCGCTGCGTTGAGGTCCTGCACAAAGCCCGTCAGCTCAAGAGCAGTGATGCTGGACAATGGGGACCAAGCTGCTCTGCGGGTCCCAGGGCAGAATAGCTGGTCTGGAGCAAACCTTCATGCCCTAGACACATTTGTAGGAGCAAAGCTACATCTCTCCAGAGCACACACCAAAACATATTGACTCTGTAGCTGCTTGCTTACCAAGCTGTGCATCATCCTGTTTTTTAACTATTACTCCCCAAGAAGTGCCTTCTGGATGTTGCCTTCATTAGCAGCACCCTGTTCCCTGTCATGCACTTTCTGTCTCGAAGAAATATTTCCAGACAAACCTGAATCCAGGGTGCTCCTAATGTGCTGGTTTCTCCATGTTATTTGCATAGGTGTGCAATGAACATTAAGTAAGTCGAGAACTTTTCCCACAATTTTCTCCCTGTTTTCCCATCTCGATCCTTTTCATGTTGAATTACTTCAGGTCCAACCTTGGCAGCCTCCTGAGCTTTTTATTGCTCAGAGATGATGTGCAGCAGAGCAAGGGAAGCAGAGGGGTCTGCCAACAGCCACATCTCACCCAAGAACCAGCCTCCAATGAGGCAAATTAACTGAGCTGCAAGGTGAAGAGATCATGTAACCCAGCTTAAAAAAAAAATTAAAAAATCCTTCTTCCTTTCTGGGGAAGCTTGGAAGAAAACCGTGACAGAGATTCTCGTCTTGATGACCTTATCAAGCCAAGACGCAGACCCAGAGGACGTGAGAGTAAGCTGTTTCCATGCTGATGCTCCCCATCTGAACACAACATCTGTGACTCAGCTGGGCTCGTGTGAGGCAATTTCCAGCACCGAAACGCTCTCCAGAACATGCCAGGGGAAGAATTAACACTGATGCCTGTGACCCTGGAGCACTTTGCCTATCAGGGGAAAGATCTTGAGGGTTTTTTTCCAGAGCTGTGACTTTTCTTTCTCTCTCACAGTTCCTTGGCTGCCAATAGAAATCTGATAAAAAGCCTGGTCCTCAGAGATTTACTCATTTTTTCCTCCGTTGCTGAAATGCTGGCAAAACATTTCACTCTTTCTTCACTGCAAGAGTGCTCAGGCATTGGAACAGGCTGCCCAGGGAAGTGGTGGAGTCACCGTCCCTGGAGGGGGTCAAGAAATGTGTAGATGTGGTGCTTGGGGACATGGGTTAGTGGGTTGGGTGGTGTTGGGTTGATGGTTGGACTTGATGATTCTTGAGGTCTTTTCCAGCCTTAATGATTCTGTGATTCAAAGGGGAGCCCCTCTCGTCCCTCTTCTTCTCCAGACTAGGAGAAAGCACGGGAAGGCAGCACAGCATGACTCAACACTGTGCATGAAGCCTTCAGCTTGCTTGTAGGAGCTCCTGCAGTGGAGACTGCTGAGGTCTGGTCCACATCTGACACACTCTGTCCTGGGGATGGGAAGGGATGCTGCAGATGGGGTTAATCCTGCTCGGGTTGGTCTGCATCTTGGTCTCTAAACCCAACCTTGTATCAGGGCAACCTTCAGTGTTTGAAGGTGGTTTAGGGAGGTCCATGCAAAGGTGATACAGGTATAAACCCATCCCACAACCCTTCCTGGGAGCACTGGGAGGAGCTCAGGCTTCATCCTCACACTCCCAAAGGTCTTTGCAAATGGAAACCCTGTTGTCCAAAGCAGCTGTCTCCAGGGATGGCTGAAACACACTGAGCCCATACAAGCCAGAGTTTATCTCACTTTGGGTACTGAAATCACTCTCTCACATTTCCATCCATCTCCTTTTCAGTTATTTGTTTGCAGATGTTCGGGTGGAATTTTAACCCTTTCTTTCACTGCTGGGGGTTTTCCCCCTCTGCTGAGCCTTGGCAATGCTCAACCAGCCTTCTCGGTCACAAGAAACATTGATTTTCTTAAAAAGGCAACGGGACTGCCTCCAGGCAGGGATCTTCATGGGAACAGCAACCAGCTGCAGTGCAAGATGGGGGCAGTTTGGGAGGGAGGAGGTGTTTTTTTAGTGGAACTTGCCTTTTTAAGAGAATTCTTTTCTGCTGGCAGAAAATGTAATTTTTTACAAAAGTTGTTTAATTTTATAAGTCTGTACGTTGATGAAATATCTCGGGAGATCACATACTGCCAAGGTTAATGTCTTTGTGCCACTGTGGTAAGTTTAAAACCCAATGTGACAATCCAGTTGAAGACTGCAAGATTTCCTTCTGTAATCTCGTGCTAGCTGCTAGCTAAACAAGTCTTAGCAAAAGCTGGCAAATACCGTTGCTGTGTTAGTTTGTTGGTTTTTTTTAAAGAACCTCTGCAGCATTGTAAGGCTTTGTGATTACTCACAATATAATAAAGTGATTTGGAGGAGAATAAACCCACATCTCCTGGATTTACTGCCTTAGTGCTGGGAGGGTGACAGCTGTCGCTGGGTCCAAAGTGCAGCACGGCTTCTCTCCTTGCTCTGCTCAGCCTCACCAGTGTTGCATCTCCAAACTGGGGGCAGGATTTGTCCCGCTGTGTTTTGGGCTCCTCACTGGTAGAAAGGCTTGAGAGCTTCACTGGAACTCAAAGGAAATGATGGACGTGTGGCAGTGAAAAGAACAAGAGTATCTGGAGCAAATTTCCTGCTCCAGGATCTGCTCCAAAGCTTGTCAGAGATGGTGGGGATTTCTTCATGGATTTGGCCAACCTGGGACACAGTCTGCTAGGGCTGAAAGGCTGGATTTGCAGAGTCCATGGGGATGGGAGGAGGCGAATGGGCGCAGAAGCGATGCCACAGCACAGAAAGCTGCGTGTTGCCAGACCACAGAGCTTTCAGCAGTGAGATACACGTGGTCCAGCTTCGGCACTGCTCTCCAAGGAGCGGGGGATGCTGCGTGGAGGGCTAAGAGCACGCAGAGACATTGCAACTAAAGAAAAAAATAGAAACATCTCAGGAGGGCTTTGCCTGCTCATAAATAGCAAATTTAATTTTAAGCACTTCTCGATGCTATGTATAAAAGTGATGCAAGCAGAACCCCAGTGAGGAAACTGCCTCCGGGAAGCTGCAGTGTTCCCAGTCCTCCCAAGCCAGAAGGAACAAAAGCATCTTCCATCCAGGCAGGCAGACCTGCAGGCTGCCTGGGAGAGGCTGTTCGTTCTCTGTCTGCCTCCCAAAATTGCCCTGTCGTCCAGGACATGTGAGGTAAAGTCAGACTATAACCTGGGAGTAGACCTCCTGGAGAGGCTAGATGGACTGTAGGGAAGAAGCCATCACTAGCCCTTAAAGATGACAGCTCCTCTGGTGCTCACCATTGCGTGCTGTGACCATGAGGCCATACCACCGTGCTCCTTCTGGATGGGATCCCTCCTGCTCTGGGACAACAGGCTCAGCTGGAGAGGTGAAGAGTGTCCTGCTGTCCCAGTCTGCCAGGGGATGGACACTGTCCAGAGAGCAACAGGTCTGAAGCTGGCTTCTCCCACTTCCATGGGAATGCTCTGCTGGACCTTGTCCCTCCCAGTACTCCCCTGACCTCTTGCCTTCACTTCTTCTGATTTTGCTAGTGATTTTTTATTATTTAAATAGCTTTTCTGAAGCCCTCTGCATTGGAAGACATCCCTCTCCACCACAGGACCCAGACACGTGAAACACATCCCTAATGTCCTCATGGAGGAGGAAAAGGCACACGATGGCTTCAGGCTTGGAAAATGTGAGCAGGCTCCTCATACTAGCTCCCTAAAACTGCTGTCAGCTTGATAACATGGCGTGACAGACCAAACCCTGGTGTCAAACATCACCCCAGCCACCGATGCCAGGAAAGCCAGCCAGGCTGGTCAGCTGCAAGCTTTGGCTGCCTCCAGGACCAGCTCAGCATTTGCCCTGGCAAGCAAGATGGGTGTTGTAATTAGAGGCTGAATATTTTTAGAAGCAGGAAAACCTCAGCAGAGGCTGGGCAATAAGAATAGGCTGGGTTAGGGAGGAGAAAGAAGTGGCTGAGCTGGCATTTGCTTGCAGCACTCTGTCGCCTGGAGGGTTATCAGCATCTTCCCCCCACTTTCCATCATGTTGCAAAAGACACGGAGGATTGCATCCTCCCGTCCACCTCATGCCCAGGGCAGCACAGAACAACCTTCTTCTCTTTATGTGAAAAGATGCACCTCTTGGTACCCAAAAGCTCCTATTTCCTTCTCGCCGGTTTGTTGGAGGTGTTTCTCCTGGCTGTCAGCTGTCAGCCTACAGAAGTCCCTCGCTGACTGATGATGTGACTGCCTTCATATAGCAGCAGTAGGTTGCTGTCCCTTTTAAAAATAGCTGTTCCTCTGTACATTTTCCATTTTACAGGAGGTTTTTATTTCCAGCACGTTTGTTCCACATACCCTGGCTTGGTCAGACTGGAAAGCACAGATGCACTCTTGCCATGCCAGAAAATAATGCTGCATGGCTGGGCATAATCCTTCTGGCTGCCACAAAATCTGCCTCCTGGGAAAGCTCTGGGGCAGCAAAACCCCCTGCCCCACGCATGCTTCCACAGGCAAGCACCCTAGCAATATTCCTGCCCCATCGCCCCTGAGACATCCCTCTCCTTCCCTTTTTGAGTGGACAAGCAGACCCGGGAACCTGATTAAAAGGTGGAAAACTGGAGCTGAAACTAGGCCATCAGATAAATCCTTTGCTGTAAGAAGCAGGGAGTCAGAGCGCTGGCCCTTAATCACAGTCTTTGTCTCCCAGCATTTGTATTCTTGTGTGCATGCGTCCCTCAGCGCCGGAACAAAAC